CCGTTTTCCCCACACCCTACACTATTAAAAAAGGTAATAAATACAACCCAAAATTCACCCCACAAGGAGGGGTTGGCTGGGGAATTCTGGAAGTTGAAGTCCACCCATCTTAAAGTGGCCAAGGTTGAGGAACCCTGATTTAGGCCACTAAATCCAACCACCTCTCAGCTCAGGACCCAAATTAAAGCATCTCAGATACATGGTTCATACCCAATGAAAGGAAACGCACCATCTTTGGTCCATTGGTTCCACTGTTTGCTTTTACTCTTAGGTAGTGTTTTTCTGACATTCAATTCAAACTTAAATCCATCATTTTGCTATAATGAAAACATGAGAGAATAGACCTTGATCTTCTTCTATATTACAAGTTTCCAGATATTTGAAGAATGCTATTATATCTCCCCTCAGTTGGTTCTTATTAAGGCTAAACTTAATGAATTCCTTCAATCTCTCTTCACAGGGCTTAATTTCTAGTCCACTGATCATCTTTCTTGCCTTTCTCTGAACCTGCTCCAAGTTCTCTGAATCCTTCTCAAAGCATGGTACCCAGAGCCACCATGATGGAAAACATGAGTGGGGAGGATTCTGGAGTGGAACTTCAAGGTTGCCGGGAGGGGGAAGAGAGGTTTCAGGGAAAGCACCTCCTCAGCCCCCAGCTGGAGTGTGGGAAAGTCAAGAGAAGGAGACTGGCCCCTCCCTAAGGGCATCATGGTTAGTTGCTGTTGTTGGGGATTAGAATTAATCTGGTGAGATTTTGTCTATTTGATGTAAGCTAATAAAGGAGCTAAACTGATTCTGGACTGTCTCGTTGTTGTTCTTGGGCTGAACCTGACAGCTGCATACAGTATTCAGAGCAGGGATCTGACCAAAGCAGAACAGAGTAGAACAATTACTTACTATGATTTGGAAATTAAACTTCTGTTGATGCAGTTCTAAAATTGCATGTACCTTCTTTGCAGTCACTTCATGTTGCTTGCTCATATTCCATTTGCAATCAGTTACTATTCCAAGATTTTTTTCTACCAAGCCTGATATCCCATCAGTCATGTCCTCAGTGGGGATCAAAAGAAGCAAGATGATGGTTGCAGCAAGGTGATCAAAACCCCACTACTTTTATATGTGTATTGACATCACATGCACATACAAAGGAGTAGGGTTTTGATCATACTGCCACAAACACCATCTTGAATGTTCGATTTTTGTTTCCTAAGTTATCATCAGTGTGACGTTCATTGTGGGTCCTGCTAGTTATTTGATATCAACAGTTCATTCAGCTTTTTGGGGAACAGGGCCCATGCTATGCTGGTTGGTTTGTTACAATGTTTTTATCTTGTTTTTAATCATTGTTAGCTGCCCAGAGTTATGTATTTGAGATGGGCAGCCATATAAATTGAATAAACAAATAATATGGAATAAAGTGCCACTGAAGTTCAAGTAAGCTCTCTCCTTATTAGGTTTTAGGATGGATCTAAAGAATATTCAACTGTGCCTTAACATACTTACGTTTGAGCATATTTTGTTTTCTTGTGCTTTATATTTTTAGTTATTCTTGGGTTGCTGTTTTTATTTTACTTTTGTAAGCCACCCAGGGCCATTACAGGAGTAAGCAAAATATAACATTTATAAATGGATTAATATATCCTAAACTGATTACTTCAATTATTACAACTAACTACATTTACAGTGCTTTGACCCCCAACAAAACATTCCCCCCCCCCCCGGTCATTTACTACAGCAGAAAGACTGCACATTTATTTGGAAGTATAAGAGTCCAATAGGAACTACGTCTGCATAATCAACATGGGATTTGACTGCAGGATTACACACTTGCAAGCAAGATCCAATACATTTAGAGATCGGGGGTATAGTTCTATGCTATAACTAGCATATACTTGCCCAGAAGTGCCAATAAGCATGTTTTCTTAAATTTCATGTAATGTTTGAGTAAACCTTACAAAATCGTCCTTTTTATTTTCACAGGAAACGTTCGATCGCTGCCCTTGCCTAACCCAGCTTCCAAAGTAAACCCTATTTATTTCCTATGGAAATGATACAAACGCGAAGCTTTTTAGGTTCAGATTCTTTGGCGAGCTACAGGACTTCCGTCTGAGAAAATATGCTAAAGGTTTAGAATTCGGTCGCTTGCCAGAAACCTTTGCACGCTTTCTGGAGAGTAAACCGCATCTAAGCCAGTCCGGCTTCCTTCACAACAAGCGCGCTTTTTCGCCTCCGAGTTACTTACCCATGTCTTCGCACCCAAGCAGCAATCCCCGATCCGATCAAGCGATGCCTTTCTGGTTCTCTCGAAATCGCAGGGGATCATTCCCAAACAGGCCCACTACTCGCCCCACGAGCTCGCAGGCGCAGCCATTTTGCACCCTCCACCCCCGGCACGCTGGGAAGAAGACATTAACCTCTCACTGGCTGAAAGGAAGTTTGCCCTCCAGCACCGGCGACTGCTTCGAAACACTCTCCCTCCGAAGTTTGCCTGCTTTAGTCAAGAAACAAAGGGGCATTTTCCATTTCCACCGCAAAATCGAGAGTATCGGAGAGTTTGAGAGAAGGAGATACGAAAATCCATATATCTAAATAATGCGGATCTTAAATGCTCCGCGTTGGAAGTTAAACAATAGGGGGAAACATTAAGGTTTGCTTTAAAGAGATGGTTGGTTTGGGTTCGTTGTGTGAATCCAACCATCCACTGTGGTGATTAAACAGCCTTCTGGGTCTGTGTTGTATGAATAAACCACAACTGGCTAGTACAGTAAAACAATTTAAACAAACCATGTTTAAATACGATTATATGAACCTGGTCAGTGACAGGTCCAAGATCATCCAGCAAACTTAAGTGATGTTCAAGGATTTGAAGACGGGTCTTCCCAGTCTACCATACTGGCTATGTGTTTTATTTTATTTAATTGACCTTTAAAAACACAAAACAAAACTTGAGCTACTTGCATTTGTGATCAACAGAAACCTCCACGGAAGAGGAGTCAGATCCGTAAACCTCGTTTTTTCTGCGGACCCACCTTGCAAGTAAGCCCTCTCAACCCCGAGAGGTCACTTTTCAACGAGGAATCATTAATCCTCAGGTTTGGTTTCCCACCCGAATGATTTTGAAAACGGATCCTCCCTCCTGGAGACCACATTCTCGCGAGATTTTGGCACGTGTGTCGTCACAACGAAGCGGCGGAAGAGGCTCCCCTGTTGGTTTGCGTTTGCGTCCATCGGCGGCGGGGACGGGACTGACCTAGTCGACGAACCGCGAGCGGGGCTGCTTCGCCGCTGTCATGGCGATCTTCACGCCGACTAACCAGATTCGCCTGACCAATGTGGCCGTCGTGCGGATCCGGCGGGCGGGGAAACGCTTTGAGATCGCCTGTTACCGGAACAAAGTCATGGGCTGGCGGAGCGGCGCGTGAGTGGGACTTGGGCCTCAGGGAGATGAACAGAAAAATCCCGTCGGATCCACTGACATTTGAGAAAGCCAAAGTGTTCTCGAGCTTACCCAGAGTGCAAGACTAGCCTTAAAAAAATCAGTCTATCAATCTAGGGTTGAATTTTTCCGTTTTGCAGCTCCTAAGTTAGCAACAGGGCTTAAAACTTTTACTTTTAAGCACGTGCAAATTGTAGGGCTTAAACTCTGAACTGTGTGGTTCAGATGCTTGTTACAAATCACCTGTAGCATTTACACTTCTGCGTTCATCTTATTTATTTAAATATTGTCTATTACCCAAAGTTCTTGGAGCAACATAAACACCAGATTAGTATGATAAAGAATAAGCAAATAGGTCAGAAGTGTGTAAGTAATATAAAACCAATAACTAATAAATAAATAATAGTTACCCTCTGGGGAGATGGGCAGCATATAAATTTAATAAATAAGGTTAAAAATTATTTATTTCAATTTATATAGCTGCCCATCTCACTCGTGAGAAAAAAGCCTATAAAGCCTGGGGTAAATTTATATCCTGTTTCTTCTCTGTAACTGGGTCCAGAAATAGCTTCTGGCACTGACCAAGTGCTGCTCCAGTTCCACTAAGTGGAGTCATCTTTAACAGATTTCCGTCACTAAGCGATGAATATATGCCTTCCTTATTTTGAGCTGTCAGACTAGAGACAATGTTACATATCATGACCTCAAGCTAGAGATTCCATGAACCCCCCTCATTCGGGGATGGGTGGAATTTACTGTATGTATTCCTGGGCTATTTCCTATTTGCCAGCAAGCAGGAAACTGGTCATACGCTGCCTCCTGTTTGTCAGTAAGTGGTGAAAATACCACAGGTTCCAGTCACTTGTGCTGCATAGCAAATCAAAACTTCCTGCTTGTTTACTTTATGATATGGAACTCATTCCAAAGCAAAGAATGATGCAAACTTTTATGTTTAAGTTATTTAAATTTCTATTCCCCTGTTTGCGTTGCAAGCCAAAAAAGATAAATCTGAGCAAGTGTGCAATGTATTTATTGCCTTGTAATATCTAGTCCATCCCTCCTGCACTTCTTCCAGGGGGAGAATTCTCAACAGGTTCTCCTTGATGGGCAGAGCTGGTTTTGACAAGACATTGTCTGATATATTCCAGTGGTTTTAAAGGAAATAACTGCACTTTGAGTTGGGCCTGGAAAGTGGCAACCAGTACCAAGACTTTGCCTTTGGACTAGTATTGCTTTCTTTAATGGATGTGTTTAGGTGATTTAGATATTTCCTAATCATTTGTGTATTTCTGCTTAACCAAATTACAAGCTTGTTGCTTGATACTATGTTGTTGCCAGTTGAGATAGAATTTTCCAATTACTACAGTATTCTGCTTATGAGATGTAGCCAGTGTTGTTTGTTTGTTTATTAAATTTAGCGCCCAACTCCGCGTGGCTTACAGAATTAAAACCCATAATACAAAAACCAATAAATTGCACCCCCACACCCCTGGTGGCAACAAACACACTCAGACTAACCATTTGATTAGCTCCATATCAGGCCCCCTGACAAAACCATGTCTTCAGGCCTTCCAGAAAATTTGATTCCCCTGCCATAGTAATAGAATCAAAGGCAGTTTTAAATAGCAGTAGTCAACACTGTTTAAACAAGATTATCCAAATATATTGTCCTGGTTGTTTGCATGCATTAATTATCACTTTAGAATGTGTTTAACAAATAAAATTAATTTTCTAGCGAAAAGGACCTTGATGAAGTACTGCAGACACATACAGTGTTTGTGAATGTCTCCAAAGGTCAAGTGGCAAAGAAGGAAGACCTCATCAAAGCTTTCGCCACAGATGATCAGACTGAAATCTGCAAAACAGTAGGTATTGAAAATGTGCAAAAATGATATATTTTCTTCTTTTTTCAGATTCTTTTTTAAAGCAATTCAGTATATCAGAAAGAATGGATAGTAGAAATGTAATCCTTTTATGTGTTTAGATCAGCTTGGGGTCAGTGTTTAGGGTTCTTGAGATTGCTGAGCTATTTAAGGTGAGTTGGGCTGAAATATAAAGTCTGGCCCAAAATCAGCCAGGGAGCTTTTATGGCTAAAAGTGGACTTTTGGGTCTTCAGTCCTGGGTCTGGGTCTTCAGTCCTAATCCAATGCTGTACCACACTGGCTCTCTTTTAAATATTTTAAAAATGGAATTCAAGCAAAATTTATTTTCTTTCATGGCTTCATCCCATATTGCTTATTCTGTGGGAAGGTTAAAATAATATACAGTTTATGCTCTGATTTAAAGATTCAGTCTTCCATTGAACTAATGTGTGTCACTTCATTACATGACTGTTTATTTCCCTCCCTTGAGATATTTAGTTCTATGAGCTTTTGAGACCCAGCTCTTGTAAACATAGCCTTGTTGATATGATGGTTAACAAGCAATACTCACTTTACAGTTATAGCTAGTGGCAATGCTTAGCCAACCTTGGATCATCCCAAAAACTTGACAGGGTAAGAATGGCTTACTACTTGGATGGGAGAGTATCAGGAACTCCCAGGTTGTAGCATAGACTGGAAAGACAAAATCCTGAAAGATGACAAGCCTCTTTTACATTATTGTCCCCCAAAACTATATGGACATATCCATGTAATAACCAAGGGTCAAACTTGATATGAGGGAGTCATTATCTTTGCTTGTAATTTACAGAGATTCTTTAAGATAGCCATTCTAGGGTTCATAAACAGTCTAGAAAGCTGAATCAGAGTTCTGATGATGGTGCATGAAGCACCATCTGAATTTGAAAAAGCCCAAGTCCAAATAAACTTTTCTTTCTTTCAGATCCTAGCCAAAGGGGAATTGCAGGTCTCTGATAAAGAGCGCCACACTCAGCTGGAGCAGATGTTTCGTGACATTGCAACCATTGTTGCAGACAAATGTGTGAACCCAGAAACCAAGAGGCCCTACACAGTCATTCTTATTGAAAGAGCTATGAAGGATATACATTATTCAGTCAAGCCTGGGAAAAGTACCAAGCAACAGGTAAAAAATTATCTCTGTAGGAGGCCACTTTGTGCCTACAGGTTGTAGGCATGCAAAGATACTGTAGCTTTTCCCTATATTAATTTGAAGTAACCAAGAGCACCTGATCATCTGGGTTGACCTGACTTGCCACCAGGTAAACAGGCAAGATGATTTGTTAAAAGTTGCTTCTCTTTTCTTCTGTTTATTAACTGCAGATGCCTGAAGGATGCTTAAATCAGTAGTAGACTGGTAACATTAGTTGGGTATTGCATTTTGCAGAATTTCTTGCAATGTCTGTTTTTAATGCAATACAGTGCCAATCATTGTATGACTGAATATTTTCAAACTGTCTCACATTTTATAATCCTGAAGGCATTACTAATTTTGGAAAATATTAACATCTCCATCATGCAAACTAAGGCTTTACTCCTATACAAGCTTACAAGGAAATAAACTCATTTAAATACAGTGGAGAGAATTGCACTGAAAACAGTAATAGTCCTGTAATATCTGAAAATCAAATCAGTGTGTTCCTATCCTTTGTCAGATACAGCTGTCAATACAGTAGGTTAAGCCTCTTTGGATTTCACTGGGAAGAGAGTTTCATAAAGTTGAAATCATTGCAAAATAGACCATTATCTGTTTCCAAATTGTTTTGCCTGTCTCATGTTAGGGATTAGGGCTGAGTGGACTCATATGGAGAGGCATTATCTAAAATTATTCTCCTACAACTTGATGAACAAAATAATATGAAATAAAGTAACATTTTGGCACTAATGATTCTACCAATAATTCAACCTCCAAATTTCTTTCAAAAAACCCAAGTTCTCATTAACTTTTAGAAGGCCATAAGAGTAGAGTCCACTTTTGCCTCAGGAGTCAAGACGGTACAAAGGAGGGGAACTCACACAGAGAATGCCCCCCATCTCATGGAGGGGATCTTCAGCAGGTACTCCCTGGTCATCTGGTTTCACTAGGCAGAATCTAAGCAGTCTCTTCTTATACGTAGGCTCCAGGCCATATAGAGCTTTATAGAGAATGTCCAGCGCTATGAATTTCACTTGGAAAAAAACTGGAAACCAGTGCAACTCCAGTAGCAATGGTGTAATGTGGCAGTACCAAGACTGCCAAGTAAGCAAGCAAGCCACAGCATTTTGGATCACCTGAAGTTTCTGGATGATCTTCAAGGGCATTATTCCTTGAAGATTATCCAGAAACTTCAGGTGATCCAAAAATGCTGTGGCTTGCTTGCCTGTCTCATATAGAAAGTTTCTGGATGATCTTCAAGGGCATTATTCCTTGAAGATTATCCAGGTGATCCAAAATGCTGTGGCTTGCTTGCCTGTCTCATATAAAATGAATTAGAGCAATGTATAGGTGCTGTATTAATCTATTAAAGAAATAACGAGTTTGCCCTGCCCCACTCTTTCTCATGCTTGCAGTACAGCTCTTCTTCAGAGAAAGCAAGAGGTCTTCCCACCAGTTCTGTTTTGAAAGGATGGAAGATTGCCCTGCTGCTTATTCTTGGGTATAAAAATGTGCTTAGCAGAACAAATGTCATATATGGCTGTTAAAAGTATTGAACCAGAAGTGAAGAGGCCCAGGTTTTCCAGGTTTTTTTCAAGGAGGGCAGGATAAAAATATAAAAATCAGTGCTTTGGTTTGGATTCCTCTGTAGGCTTTGGAAGTCATCAAGCAACTGAAGGAGACTATGCAGATTGAGCGGGCACACATGAGGCTACGCTTCCTCCTGCCTCGGAAAGAAGGCAAGAGATTGAAGGAGAAATTGAAACCACTGATCAAAGTAATCGAAAGTGAGGATTTTGACGAACAGCTGGAAATTGTAAGCAGCAGAGTGTCCTTTCCACAGTCTTTCTGTTTAGGAAAAAGAGCTAGTATCTTTAGTTTTATACAAGAAAGTTTATGGTCAGAGTGTTGGAGAGCAGACACAGGGACTGATATTTATAGTGCCAATCATTCACGTGATTGCTCATGAAGGAATCCTCAGTGGTTCTTGCAGGCAATGTTTTCAAATGCATCCTATGATTGCAACCATAAGGCAATTTGATACATGAACGTTTAAGAACACAGCAAATGATTGGGATGCTTCAAAGATCCCATTGTGACCCATCAACATTTCCTTTTCTTCTAATTCAAACAACCCAAGAGAATTTGGCAAAGCTTCTGCACATACTGAGATCTCTGGGGACCTACAATGAATTGCAGTCTTTGGGTTTTTACTATAATTGGGTAGAAGTGTAATATATAGACATTCCAGTCCTATTTAGTGTTGTTTCTTTTCTCTACTCTATTTAAAAAAATACCTTGAAGCTGGTAAAAGTTCTAAAAGGGGCAAATCAAAATACACAAGGAATTATAACATTTTTTTGTGATTAAAGATTTGGTTATCTGTAGTTCAGAAACTAGCAGGGGGCACAACAACTTTATGAAATTAGCCATGGAATGGTGAAAGCAGTGAGAGATGCTCTATGCCCCACATTGCAAAAACGTGGAGTGACATCATGAGACTAATTAGCAACAAATTCAAAATAAAGGAAATTTGTATAATATGCAAGTAGTCCTCATTTAGCAACCACTGTTGGGACCAGCAACTCAGTCATTAAGCAAATGACACTAAAGGAAACTGACTGTGCTTATGATCTTACTTCACCTTTCCTTTGCTTTACAGACCTACAAAGGTCGTAAATGTGAGGATTAGTCGTAAAGTTATTTTTTCATCACCATTGTAATTGCAAACTGTCACTAAGTGAGGACTACCTGTACAACTTGCTACCACATCACCATATATTATGTTTTTGACCCACGAGAGCCAAATGTCACTGAACTCCTGTAGTAGTGAGAGTAAATAGTAGAGGGGTGGTCAGGGAGGTAATGGGAATAAATAGAGGGATGGCTATCACTTTCATACCTTCATTCTTGGAAGCATCTAGCTACAGGTAGTCCTCAATTTATGACCATTCGTTCAGCAACTGTTCAAAGTTATGATGGTGCTGAACAAATGGTGGTTATGACCAGTCTTCAGAGTTCAGGCCATCCCAGCACCCCCATGGTCATGTGGTCGCAATCTGGGTGCTTGGCAACTGGCTTGCATTTACAACCAGTTGCAGTGCCCTGTGATCACGTGATCACCATTTGTGACCTGCCCTGCCAGCTTCCCCAGAAGTCAATGGGGAAGTTGGCAGGGAAGGTCACAAGTCACGGGGTTTCCTCCACCTGTGCATCCTCCCTGAGCCTCACCACCTCCCTCGCACCCTCCCTGACCCTTGCCACGCCTCCCTTGCGCACCCCCATTCACCCTCCCCAAGCCTCTCCGCACCTCCCCGCCACTTGGGCACCCTCGTGCACCCTCCCCGAGCCTCCCCTACCACTTGTGCACCCCTGTGCACCCTCCCCAAGCTTCGCCATGCCTCTCTCACATCCCCCAAGCCTTGCCGTGCCTCCCTTACACCCTCTTACACCCCTGCACACCATTCCCAAGCCTCTCTCGCAGCCTTGCACACTTCTTCGTGCCGTCCCCCACTCGGCAGCTGGCCTGCTTGCAAGCCACCTGGGACTTGGTTGTGGGAAGCTCGCAGGATGTTGCCTCGCCTAATGACCATGTGATTCAGTTAACGATCCAACCGGGACATGTTTACGACTGCATCACTTAGCGATGGAAATTCTGGTCCCAATTGCCATCATAAGTTGAGGACTACCTGTACTTATTTTGGGAAGAAAGATGCTGGGTCCACCTTGGTCTTATTCACCAAGGCAGTTCTTTGTAAGATGTGGCCTTTCCAGTCTCATGTAGTGCTAATGTTGCAGGTGTGCCTTGTGGATCCAGGCTGCTTCCGGGAGATTGATGAATTGATCAGGTGTGAAACCAAAGGCAAAGGAACCCTTGAAGTTCTCAGCCTAAAAGATGTGGAAGAAGGTGATGAACGCCTGGAATAATTGGGTGCCTGTTGCTACCACTTCGCAAAGATGTATTAAAAGGCATCCTAGAGTTGCCTCATTGTGGATTGACCTTTGCTTTTTTCAGTTTGAGGTTTTATATAATTATTACTAGTCCTCTGCCCCTTCCCCAAATTTTGGTGGGTGGTATCAATTGAAGGTACCTTATAAACACATCTAGCCCTTAGATTATCTGATAATTGAGGGATTTTACACTAAGTTTACTTCTGCTTTGGTTGTTTTGAGTATAACTGCAAAATGAGAGTTTTATGTCAAGTGCCAAAATGACCTTCCTTAAAAGCAAGGGGCTTCAAGGAAGGAACTGGCTGCAGTCTTCAAGAATTAGCAGCATGAGCTAGTAGCTGAGGTTTCCTCAAACAAGCACAGTAGTGTCTGGTTTTACCAGCAAGATTTGTAAACTAAGAGATAAACAGCCATTGGTTGCTTTGTATGAAGTGACTGCACAAATATAATATTGTCCTAATTGCAGAATAGCACGATTCTGTGGATTGTGATTTACAGGCGAGAAGAGTTTAATGGCCATCCTTCCAGAGTCAGTCTTGGAATTTGTTCTTGAGTTTGATCCCATTCAGGTGAAAGTATAAAAATACTGACACTAAAACCAGAAGTTGTTCAGATAGTTTATTTTGAAAAAATTTTTTTACAATAACTTAATCTAGAAAATATTTATTAAACATTTTAATTCAGGTAAAAGAACTACTTTGGCTCCAGTGATATATTAGGCTTTTTTTGTTATTATTTGTTATACTAATTTAATATTTAGGAGTAAGCCAAAAGAACAGATCAGTTCATTGTCAACACAAAACTCTAGGGTGACTTTGATTTCCTATGAGTAAACTAATAGGGGTGCTATCAAGAAAAACAAAAGAAGTATTGCCTGATGTTTGTCATTTCCTTATAATGCTTGGAATTCATAGTGCAAACTGTATGAGAATTCTTTGAGGAAAGCTGCACTTTTTACTTTCTCAGACACTGAGTGAGAACTTTAAAGTTGCCATATGTCATATAAATATTGATGTACAACATCACAATCATTTCTATTGTAGAATGTCAGACTTAAGTTTGGAAATTCTTAGATTTTACAAACGAGTTCTCTAATGAATGTAACTTAAACAATTACAGCCTAAAAGCTGTTGTTAATACACTGAGGAAGATACCAAAGCATAGGTGAGGGGATACTTCCATGATGTCTGTCCAGGACCCTTTTTTTTTTTTTTTTTTAAGAATAAGCACCTTCCAGCTATCATCCTAATCCCCAGCCCACAAGGCTCAGTAGTTTTGTGTCAGTGACTAATTCTTCAACTACATGACTAACAAGAACTTCACGGTCTGTTACTCACTAAGTTTGTCTTTATACAAATAAACTTTACTGCTCTTCCTCTAGACTTTTTTCTGGTGATAAGCAGTCTGATTTCCTTAGCCTCGCTCTTTTGTGCCATGGATACATGAAGTTACGTTTCTTGGTGGCTCCACTGTATGTTGGCCAGCGGTGGGGGAGAGAGAAGACTTTAAAAAGATCTGTGCCAGATATTATAGCAGGATCATCTTTGAGTTGTATTTCCCCTGATCCTATAGATGAGCAGCAAACTACAGCGTGCTCTTCCAGAACCTCATAATTCCTTGGCTCCCCATCAAGTAGCAATTGGCCCAAATTCATGGAAGCCTTACTGTTTCATCCATATATTTAGTCCACCTTTTCCAGCCTGAGTGGCCTCAGTGTTTGCAATCTCTAGAATTTTCTAGCCAGCATGGTCTTGACTATGGATGCTGGAGTAGATATCTACCAATCCAGAGAATTGATAAAGGCTGTTTTAGTCCTCATTGTAGGACCTAACTCAGTTCTGCAGCTGACTTCTAACTTCATTAAGCAGAATATGAGAAACTAAGCAATGGGGACAAATGTTTTCTCTTTAAAAAAAAAAAAACTGATTCTGGCACCAACCTTTTTTCCAGTGTCATCACTATTCCCCGTTACCTCCACAATTCAGAAATTGACTTCCAGTACCTAATTCTTTTGTTTTTTTTAAGTGACACTAAAAATATAACCACAATGCTGTAGTTCTGAGCGTCGGGGTAAAAATGATACTCTAAAGCTGCTTGACACCTGCTAACGTAAGATAACCCTCCTGCCACCTGACCTGAGGAACAGAGGATGAACTGAAAAAGTGGTGGCCAGGTGCCATTTCAATGGGACAGCTCACAAAGTATGTATCAAATGCATTCTGTTCAGAAGTTGGTGTTGTTCTCCTGGGTCAGGTACTACTGTACAAGCTTACACAGTAGAAATGGCAGCTCTGTTGAATATCAGATGGCTAGTTTTCTATCTAGCCATTTGAACCTTGTATGTGCACAATATTGCAGGGAAGCATGGTTGCTGTAACAGAAAAAAGAATATGAGCCAACTGTGATTGGGAACCGCCAGTTGTAATACAAACTGGAACCAAGTAATTGAAGAACACCAGTGCCAAGAAAGCTCCAGCAGCAGTCTTCTGTTTAGGCTGGCTTGTAAGGGAAACCAAACCTATTTCTAGCCTTGTTAATTGGCTGATTTTTCTGCCATTTCATTTCTCGCAGAAAGAGAATAAGAATTCTGATGAAAGATTATGTTGCTTTGAATTTTAAGAAATGTAAAACACAGGCTTTTTATTTAGATACTGACATTAAAATAAGCTTATTGTTACCTTTACTTATTTCTTGTTCCAAACTTTTTTGTTTGTTTGTAAAAAAAAAAAAAACCCTCGTTCATTACAGGATGAGATACAAGTTAAATAACAGCACAGTTCTAAGTTTGTTTTCTGTTTTTTATTTAGATACTGACATTAAAATAAGCTTCTTGTTACCTGTACTTATTTCTTGTTCCAAACTTTTTTGTTTGTTTGGAAAAAAAAAAACCCTCGTTCATTACAGGATGAGATACAAGTTAAATAACAGCACAGTTCTAAGTTTGTTTTCTCAGAGGGAACTTCTATTGTATTAATTAAAACTGGCTGCAGTTCTGTATACACCAGAAGAACATGTTTACTTTTGAGCCTACATGAATAGGATTAGGCTCTATTTTCGGCAAAAGGCCTTTGTGAAATAAACACAAACTGTTTTAGCTTGAGGACATGTACAACATACCTATTGAGTCTGTTTTTAATAAACAGATTTGGGCATTTTGAATTTGTCCTTTAATCCAGGTCACTCACTTAAAAAAAAACATGAAAATAATAGTTGCAGAATACTTTATAAAAATAAAAATATTTATGATCATAAACTTACATTTCCACTTTTATGAAAAATTCGAAATGTACAATCTAGTTAATTGCGATATAATCCAATTGCTTTTAATGAAATTTTACCACAACTTGTTCATAGTTCTTAAGTGACTATGCAACTCAGTTCTTACTCCCAAGTAACTTAACAGGATTTCTGGCTTTGGGAACATATGGTAATAGATCGGTTTGAATTTCTTAAGATTCTTCTTACACACATAAATTGGTATGACAAATCCTCAGTTAATATAATTGAAATCCTCAGTTACTTTCAGGGTGATATGTTAAATATTAAGATGTATTAGACTTGCAAACCTAGATCCCTGGTCAGCTAGTATTACCTGTTTCTGTATCAGAATATGAGCACCGCTTCCGAGGAATTAAAAAGGAATATTTCCATTCTTATGCTTCAAGCAGCAACTGCACTTGTTCCAGAATCTGAAAATAGTCTTTAGAAATCTTTAGATGGATAACTCGAGAACCCTGCTCATTCCGTTTAAAGTACTTCAGATATAGATCACATCTGTTTTGTGTTGTTGAACCTAGGAAGCCCCAAAGAAAGTAGAAGAAAGATATTTCCGTTTACAAAGGCAAATGGACTACATAGCTTAGAGCAGAGGCATTGAAACATTTTAAAGGTACAGGAAAAAACATGACACGTTGCAAAAAAGGGCAAAACTCTGGAATAAGGACTCCAATATTGACATTAGAACTGGAGTAAAATGGAATCTTTCACCACTTCCTACAGCCAAAACGTGAAGCAACCATTTCTAAACCACAGTTGTATAATGGGCCACTAAAAGTATTCACGTACAACAGGCTTGGCTGGTATTTGAAGAGGGCATTCTCTCTCTCTCCATGGAATTATGTGCTCTCCCCTCATCCAGTAGCTCACAGAGATAGAAGGTAGCCCCAGTGGTACATAATGAATTTATCAAATTAAAAATTCATATTAGGCCAACTTCAAAAATCAAAAATGTGCAAGCTTTGAAATCTCTTCATTAGGCAAATACAGTGTTCAAAAATGAGTTGTAAAGGAAGAAGAGAGAAAAAAAGTCTGACGTTATATGGAACTTAAATATGTAACTATCATATTGAGTCAGCCTTTT